GAAGCTCGGCTGGCTCAGGGCAAGCCTGGGCCCCTGGCCACCTCTGGCCCCTGCTCCAAGCCCCCAGTCCTGGGCTTCTGCACAGCCCCTCAGCCTCCCCACAGCTGTGGTGGGGCTGGAGCTGCCCTGCAGTAAGCCTGGCTGGAGAGTTCACCTCACAGCCACTGTCCTTCGTCCCATCCTGTCCTACCCTATCCCACCCTGCCCCATCCCATCCTATCCCAGTCCCAGCCCTCGTACTGCCAGGGGCCGGAGCTGGGACATCCCGGGAGGAGAGCTTGCTGAGGCTGGGGGGCTCCAGGGCTGGATACAGTGAGAAGCCAAGTCCTGCTGCTGCAGTGGACCACCAGTCCCCACAGGGAGAGACTTCTCTCCTCACTGGGGGGTAGGGACGCAGGTGCCCCCACAGGCAGGGGGGTCTCCTCTGGAAGCCCCTGGTGCCCCCTGACCCAGCATACCCTGTCCTGGGGGGGCCCTGCCCTGGCCCCCTCTTCTCCAGATGTGGGAGGAGGCCATCCACATCTGCAAGGAGCTGGCGGAGCAGTACGAGAGCCACGTCTTTGACTACGAAATGCTGAGTGACATCCTGGTGGGTGCCCAGCTGGGATGGGGGTGCTGCTGGCAGGGCAGGATGGTGGGGATGAGCTGGAGGTTGGTGGTCTGCAGGGCCCCATCCTGCCCTTCTCCCCTGCAGCAGCGGGAAGCCAAGTTCTACGAGAAGATCCTGAAGGTGCTGCGGCCCAGCCCAGACTACTTTGCCGTGGGGTACTACGGGCAGGGCTTCCCCACCTTCCTCCGGGTAAGCGGGGCCAGGAGCAGCTCCACGCCTGCCACCTCCATACCCAAAGAACCCCACTTCTCACTGGTCTCCACCTGGATGTGGAGCTGTTGACTACAACTCTTTGAGTGTCACCATCCAGCCCGTTCTTTACTCGCCAAGAGTCCCATCTGCCCCATCCAGGCCTGTCCAGCTTGGAGAAAAGGGTGTCCTGGGCACAGGGTCAGATGCTTTGCACATGTCCAGTCACCCTCCCCTCATCTACCCATGCTGTCATCCCCTTGTAGAAGCCAACTGAATTGGTCAGGCAGGATTTGCCATTAGTGACACTGCCTTGGCTGGCCACAATCACCTCCTGATTCTCCATGTGTCTGTTCCTTTTTCCTCCAGTTGCTGCATTTGGGGAGATATTTTTTTCTAGAGGGGGTGTCTCCTGCTTGGCAGGGGTCTCAGCCTCAGCAGCACCTGCACCCCAGTGCTCTGGGGCTTACTGGTGCACAGCCCTAGGGCTCCCCAGCCCTGCTCTGTGGCACTGGGATGAGCTGCCACCTTCCTCCCCTGCAGAACAGAGTCTTCATCTACCGGGGGAAGGAGTATGAGCGCCGGGAGGACTTCGAGATGCAGCTGCTGAGCCCCTTCCCCAACGCTGAGAAGCTGAAGAGCACATCCCCTCCCGGGCAGGACATCACGGGCTCCCCGGGGCAGTGTATCCTCCGTGCAGGGGGCTGGGGCTGGCAGAGCGGCTCGGTCCCCGTCCACTGCCCTGCGTGTGGGCACTCCTGCAGTCCTGGGGTTCACCCCTCTTCCCAGACCCCCGTCCCCCCCTGGTGCCTGTGGCTCCTTCACTCCCGCAGACATCCAGTGCTTCACCGTGCAGCCGGTGGAGGAAGCCAGGGTCCGGCTCAAGGGCCGGATCATCCCGGAGCAGATCACCAAGTGAGTGTCCAGCATGGAGGGAAGCACAGGGAGCCCCTCTCTGCTCCTCGTGGGTGGGACACAGTGGGGACCCTCTCCCATCTCTGCCCCTTCCCTCCCCACAGCTTCTACAAAGCCAACCATGTCCAGCAGTTCAGCTACTCACGGCCCTTCAAGAGAGGCCCGAATGATCCTGACAATGAATTTGCAGTGAGTGCTGGGAGGGGCTGCCAGGACCCCAAACCAGGAGGGATGGGAGAGCTGGGGGGGCCCTGCAAGGAGCCAGGGACCAGAGGAGAGACAGGGGGTCCCTGGTCGTGGGATGGGGAAGGTGGTGGTCCTTTGCCCATAAAAAGGGGAGGTGGGAGGCCCCCTGTCCCACAGGGCAGCCAGGGGTGAGTGTGGGTGATGTGAGGGGGCGGTGGGTGACTGCTGCCCTTCCGGCAGAACATGTGGATCGAGCGGACGACCTTTGTGACAGCCTATCCCCTGCCTGGCATCCTGCGCTGGTTTGCTGTGACTGCCACCACCACGGTGAGGAGTGGGCAGGGGGGAGCAGGGCCCTCCCAGGATCCTGGTGAGCACAGCTCCCAGCCCCCAGCCCTGCCAGGAGCTCGAGCCAAGGCATGGGGAACATGTCCTGCCCACGCTCATCTAAGCCTCTGCCCTGGTTCTTGCACCCCGTCAGAGCCTGTTCTCAGAGCACACCTGATCCAGCCCACTCAGTGCTTTAGCCCCCAGATCCGCAGCTCCCTCCCATGACCCCCCTTTGGCATTGCCTTGGCCTCTCTGCCCCAGGACCAGGGCTGATCTCGGGGCAGTGCCAAGTGGGATTGCTGTGCCAGGCCACGGGAAAGGGTTCCTCTGTTGACACAGGGCACAGAGACCTCCGGGCACTCCAGGCACTGACAGCCTTCATTTGCTGGTGCCAGCAGCACCAACGTGGTGGCAGGGACAGGTTTGCATGGCTGGACCACTGGAACACGCATCTCCTCTGTGGGCAGCAGGGACCACGTGTGGGGAGCAGCAGAGGGTGGAGGGGTGTTAGCAGCTGCTGCCAAGGCTCTGTGCATGGGCTTTGTGCCTGTCAGAGGCAGGTGCTCGGCCAGCATCCAGGGAGGCTCAGGAGCCACAGCAATGGAGATGTGACGTGCCCTAGTGGGCTGTCACACAATGCTCTGGCTGGGCTGTTGGGATGCCCTGGCTGGGCTGTCACAGGATGCTGTGGGCATGGGGACATACAGCTGTACAAGCACTGCACACACATCTCTGCCACGGTGCTCAGGCTGTGCTCAGGTTTCCTGTAAGCCATTGCAGCCTCACGCCCGCAGGACTGACCTTGGGGCAGCCTGTGCTGGGAGCAGGGACCAGCATGGCCAGTGCGTCCCTGTGAATTCTCGGCTCAGCCCCAAGCACCCAGTGCCAAGGGTCTGAGGAGCTTCATGGAGCGAGATGTGCAGCCCCTGGGGTCCCTCCTCTGGGGCCAGGGAGAGCCCACCCTGCCAGCCCTAACTAGGGGGGAGGTGGCTGGGCCAGTGGGCACTGACCTCCCCTCCCTGCACACAGACCATCATCTCCCCCCTGGAAAACGCCATTGAGACAATGATGAAAACCAATGAGAAAATCATGAGTGAGATCAACCGGCACCAGAACGACCCCAGCCTGCCCATCAACCCGCTCTCCATGCTGCTCAATGGCATCGTGGACCCTGCTGTCATGGGTGGCTTCGCCAAGTACGAGGCAGTGAGTACACACGGGGGCTGCGCCGGGGCCGGCCGGGCACGCCCGGGGCTGGTGGCCACAGGTACTGGCACCACTCTGCCATCCCACTCTGTGTGGAGCTGGGCCAGCCTGGCAGTGGGACTGAAGGGGGTCCTTGCAGGCATTTTTCCAGGAGTCCTACCTGAAAAAGCACCCCAGGGATGCAGGGAACATCGAGAAGCTGAAGGACCTGATCGCCTGGCAGGTACAGGCAGGAGGACCTACCCCGGGTGTCCCTGTCCCAGGGAGCCCCACAAGCCCAGGGGGACCTGTCCTCGTTCTCCCACAGACCCCGCTGCTGGCAGAGGGGATCCGGATCCACGGGCAGAAGGTGACAGAGGACCTGCGGCCCTTCCACGAGCGCATGGAGCAGTGCTTCGAGCAGCTGCGGGCCAAGGTGGAGAGCCAGTACGGGGTGCGGGAGATGGTGAGTGCCAGGGCAGCAGGCACGGGGTGGGCACTGCTGGGGGACACGGGCAGTGCGTGGCACTGCATGACACTGGACAAACCAAGGTGTGGGGCAGCAGGGAGCACCTGGATGGGGCTGCAGCTGGGGCAGGAACAGGGTGAGGGGCACTGTGCAAGGGGGACCTCAGGGTCCCTGCCTGCCCCAGGAGGGGCACAGCACTGCCATAGGGTGACTGGCACTGGCACAGCAGGAGGACTGGTCAGAGGACACTGTTGGCCCTGGCTGAGCCCAGGGAAGGATCGTGAGGCTCTGCCCCCTCATCCCCCCTGGCTGTGTCTCAGGCTCCCTGTGCTCTCAGGTCTTCTTTGAGGACCAGCGGAGCGGACGACCCCGGTCCATGGCCTGGGGACCCGACTGCAACCAGCTGAGCCATGCTGGAGCCAGGCAAGTGCTGTGGTGGGGAGTGCTGGCCACCCGCTCTCTCTACACTCACCCCTCCCTGCTGAGCCTTTCACTCTGCTCTGCCCCAGGTGCTTCTCTCCCATCTCCCCAGTCCTCTGCCCTCTTGCCTTCCCTTTATGTCAAGCACATCTCAGGGGTCCATCGTGCTATGCCACCACAGTGGCCCTGTCCCTATAGGGGGCATGGAGGAGAGACATCCCACGTGCAGCCCCCAGGCTCACCTGGACACCACTGTCACCTGAGCCACGCATGTCTGTCCTCTGCGAACATCCCCCACCGAGCTCTGCTGCAGACAGCGCTGGTGCCTGGCTGAGGGCGGCTGCTCCGGGCAGTGCTATGGCCAGCCCATGGCATAGCCCTGCTCCCCTTCCCCTGCCACCCCTTGCTTCTCACCTGCCCCAGTTGCTCCACAGCACAGAGGCACCTTCGATCCCAAAACCCGCCCCCCGCACGTCCGAGAGTGAGGACCGTAGGAACGAGCACCGGGAGAGCCGCTCCAGCTCCCTCTTCGGGTCCCGGCGGCAGGACGTGCGCCGGTCCATCTCGGAGCTGCCAGAGCCCAAGGTGATGCTGGTGTCTCCCTGGGCCCCCCCAGCCCGCACTTCCCTGGGTGTCATGTTGCATGCAGACCCCTGACCCCGCCGGCAGCACCAGACTCCAGCCCGAACAGGACCCCTCATGGGGCTGGTGGCAGCCCCTGCTGCAGAGAGGGCAGGAGCAGGGCCTGGAGGGGCCCAAGGTTGGAGATGCAGGGCTGCCATCCAGCCTGGCCCCTCGAGGTGCTGAGCCTCCCCTCTGTGCCCCAGGACGAGAAGCGGAGACTGTCCTACAACATGAGTGAGAGCAGCCCGGGCAGCTCCGACAGCAAACAGCCCCCGCCGAGCCGAGCTGCTGCTGGTGCTCAGCCCAGTGCTGCAGGTACTCCCCGCCCCAGCACAGCTCGGGGGGCACCTTCCCGAGCCCCAACAGCCCCACGAGCAGGGCTGTGCCCCCCAGCACCCTCAGCTCTGCAATCCAGCAGAGGAATCCTCACCCTCTCCCCCCGTCCCCACCGTGGCACAGGACTGGGAGTCACAGCACATCTCACCAACGCTCCCCAAGGGGCGGCCGTCGATCCCAGCTCTTGTGCGCGGGATCTGGTGCCTGAGAGCACTCAGTGGAGCCGGCCCCCGCTCCTGGCTGGGCTCACACCCCAGGGCACCCCTGGCCCTGCTGCCCAGGCCCCCACACTCCTGCAGGCAGGAGCACTGGCCCTGACAGCCCTGGGAACTGAGCCCCGGGCACACTGATGGTCCCCTGGGATGGCCAAGCCCCCCAGCCCACCTCCCCTGCCTGCACAGGGCTGTCCCTGTCTCCCACTGGCTTCGGTGGCCGTGTGAAAAGTGCCAGCAAGGTCCCACCGCTGCCCCGCAAGATCAGCCCCGCGGTGTACGAGACGTTCCTGGAGCAGAGCAACGCCACAGCCGGAGGGAAGGTACTGGAGGGGAGGTACCGGC